CTCGCTTCAGCTGTGTGGCTGCTGGCCGCCATCTTGGTTGGTGGTTAATTTTCATATCACCCTGATTAGCCAATGGGAAGTGTAGCAAAGGTACGGTCAATTACCCTTTTTGTCTTTTATTAGATAGGATGTCCTACACAATCTGGCACATAGTAGGTGATCAGTGAATTTATTTTGATTAGGTGAATAAATACCCAAATAATCTTTTAAACTCTACCCTCATATGAGAGTTCATGTCAATATCCACTTTCTTACTCAGCAGTCTGTTTCCAAAGAAAGTTTATAATACCAAGTAAGGAGAGTTCTTAGACATATTTAGTGCAGGACAAAATATTTTTATTTAGGTATTGTTTTAGGCATAGGAAGATGAAGTTGTCTAACAGGGATGGGTCAGGAAGAGATAAATGTGCTTAGTTGGAAGCCATGGTGTCCTGAATCCATCTCACGTAGTTGCAGACCTTGGTGTAGACACCAGGTTTGCCCTTCATAGCACAGCCATAGCCCCAGGAGACAATGCCCTGGAGCTGTCCATTGCAGACCACAGGTCCACCAGAGTCACCCTAAACAAGAGGGAAAAGCCGTTTAGAATTCTCAACCACATCCAGATGGGATAAAGTCTCAAAGATGTTCCTCCATTATCCCGAGGCTATCTTCCCAGGCTGCTGCTGATCTTCCATGCAGCCCCTTCAACTCTCAGTTTCCACACTACATCCCCATTCTTCCTCCCCCCTCCTTCTAGGTCCTCCTCTTTCCTTAATTACAGGCATATGGGGCCAAGAAGAGGTGGTAATACAGGGTGTAAGGCTTCTCAGCTAGCCCTGCTTTTTCAAAGTGTTCTTCTACAATAGTCCTCATCAGAAGAGTACCTTAGCTGTGCTATTTGCACACCATCTTCTATGTATCTTTTTACCCTTAATTATAACCACTCATATGGCAAAAAGAAAAAGTGATCACTTATCCCAAATCTACCCCTCACTCCTCATGATCAGTTCCAGAAAAAGCCTATTAATCTTCTGTATTTCAGAAAAGGGGAAATTTGGTGGAGATGCATGAGATGGAGCTTGAAAGAAAAGGGGTGCAAAGAACCTAACCTGGCAAGAGTCCTTTCCACCCTCCAGGAAGCCCAGACACATCATGTTGTTGGTGATCTGGCCTGGGTAGGCATTGCGGCAAACACTGTCAGAGAGGACGGGAGCATCCAGGCACTGCAGGAGCTCAGGGTAGTTAGCTGTTGGATGCAGGAGTAAAAATGGAAAAAGGTTATTTATGGAATCTAATTAGTGAATGAATTGACCAACGAAATAAGACCTGAAGCATGGAGGCATGGAGCTGACTGACATACCTCAATGTGGGGTTGGAGGGATGAGAAGAAATAAACCAAAGAACTTATATGCTTATCAATATGGTAGTGAAGACATGGGGAGGTAGGGGCTGGGAGGATGGGAATAAAGGGTGGGGGAGAGTAGATATCTCTAATACTATCAACAATAATATAT